TGCTCCCAGCGGTTACATCTGCTCTATTCTTTCATCTTTCTCCATTGTTAGGTGGGAGCTGTCACATTAGGAGGAGAATCGTGGCTTCTTCCCACCCCCAAGTACCCCTTTTTTTCCCATTCCAGCAGTTGGCAGGGTGGCAGGCCTATACAAAGGAGCGTTCACCAGGAGCACAGAGGGGAGCACCGTTAGAGGAAAAACAGTTTGGGAATTAAGGTCATTAATTTTCCACTTTCAAGGGCTGCCACACAGACGGAGATAAAGTCAGCATAAATATTCCGCCGAAGTTTCTCCTGTTTTTCTCCTCTCCCCATTTTCATCGGCAGCCCATTTATCTCTGTGCTGTCAATTAGAGGCAAAAGCAAAGAACTAATTAGGAACTGTGCAATTTTAATTAGCTGTTTTGATAATTAAACTAATTGGTTCCCTTGTGTTTCTGCAATGTGTGCTGAGAACTTTTTTGATATCTGGGCAGCAGATTTTCCATCCGCCGGTTAATTAGTCACTTTTGCATTAAAAAGGAGCCTTCCTTAATAGCCTTAATTTGCAGTTGAAAAGAGAATCTACCATCAATAATTTGTGTAATTGGTAACCGTTTGATTGTAATTTAGAGGCACGGCCGGACAGCTCGGCATGTCTAATTCCTAATGACTAGGATTAAAGTTGGATTAACTATTTGGGAAAGGGATTCACTCTCTCCTCTTCCCTACCCACCAAATGACACCTTGTCTGCATTTGATTGGTCATGAAATTCAAATTGACTAGGTGAACAGCAGGGCTTATATCATCCCTATTACTTCCTATATGGTGAGCCTGTCAGGTTACATCAAAAAGATTCCAATAATTCCCATTTTTTTTCCACCCACCGCCTCAGGAGCTCGGTGAGGAAGAGAATAAAAAATGGTTACAATTTATTATATGATGTGTTAAAGCCCTGCTATCAAACCCATTTGTGTACAACTCTGTGGGGAAAACATGGCCAAGAACAACCACTAGGAGGAGCACAACCTTAAATCACACAGTAACAAAGTAAAATAGATCCCTCTATTCACTCAAACTTCATTCATTCGAGTAGCTGGCAGTGCTTTTCCCCTCTGAGCATAAAATTGAACATTTAACAGCCTCCACATTCACACACAGCAACTGAATATCTGTAAGTAAGTTGCAAGCATAAAATGAATGCAAAAAGGCGACACTACTATGAATTGTTTGATGTTTTGGTGTTTTCCACAGCAACAGAAACACCAGGGGTAATCACACTGATGTTCACAGGTGTTAGCTTCGTGCCAGAATGCATTTGAATATCGCCAGAAGACAGAAAACCTGGACTTACAGCATATCATTTAGCATCTTACCTATCAGGCACCATCTCTTTACTTTTACAACACAGAGCCTCGTCAGTAGTCTGATTAAAAAGCACCATTCATCCCACTTAGCCAGAATACAATTAAGGGACATGGCTTTAAAAGCCCAGCCCTGGAGCCTCTCCCCATCCCACATAAAAGGAGCACTCTCCACTGAGCCTTGCCTGTAAATATCATGTTTGATATGAGGTTTTAATCTGCTTAGCCATTCTGAACTATAGAATGGGCTCATCCTCTCTGTGAAACCCCCGTCCAATGGCTGTGTGCCTGAGGAGAAATAGGAACACAACACTAGTGCGCTATCTGATTAGGTGGGGTTAATTACAGAGCACTGTTTTGTAGTGGCTGCATTTGAGAGCCGCCCATAAATAGATGGGCATGGCTAATGCATGCTCAGAAATGAATTTTAATTAACTGTGTATCAGAGAGGCCCACTCAGGGGCTTGTTTCTAGTATGCAGTGACCCCACTGTTGGATGTGGAGAGGGAAAGGGTCTCCACCCAAGACACTGTGAGAGGACCTGAAGAGTACACCATGGCCTACATGAGCCATGGAGCACAGACACACAACATGTTGTATCCTTACACAAAGTTAATGTGTGTAATAGAAGACTAAGAACTCCATTGACACGGTACTGCAACCTGATTGGGAAGGGGTTTGATCGATGGTCTCTGTGGCTAAATCAAAGGTTTAGATTAGAGTTAACCCATTATTGATACGACACGTTTTCACAGCAGCCATACCAGGGTTAGTCCGATACCAAAAATGGATTTACTTCACTAACAGAGTTTTTATTATACAGTTACTACAGTTATTCTGAAACTGCAGCTGGTCATAAACGGAAACCAGGGTGTTAAAGGGATATTCCGGCGTAAAATTAATTCAGGGTCAAACACACTCTAACACCGAGTTTGACACCCACTCGAGAGATAAATGTTGCCGACCGCTTGCTTCTTTAGTTATACCAACTTTAGTAATGACCGCACGATAGCAATACACAGCAGTCTGAGGAGCCATAAACAAACCTCAACCAAAACGCCATTCTATAGCCACAAATAATGCTCAGAACAGCACCTAATCTCATCAACAGTACATATAGGGTCCCAGCCATAGCACTAGCCACCAAACATCTCTTTAGCTTTGCCTAATTTCTTTAGCAAAGAGATAACACACCTCTCACCTACTCTCTTCCAGCAGCCGCTTGTTTGTAGAGAGACCTCGGGCCAGTCCATTACGGACTACAGCGGGGTGACGCAGCTCAAGGAAGAACATTTATGTGTTTCACCCTCAATTAATTTTACACCAGACTATCCCTTTAAGATACTGGAGTTGGTACAGTCCTAAAACCAGAATGGTTCCAAAACTAATACTGGAGTTGTTCCATACCAACATTACCATTGAGTAAGCATGTCGTACCTTATTTTTCGCACTATAAGGCGCACCTGATAATAAGGCGCACTATCAAGGAATACGTCTATTCGCGTCTATTTTCATACATAAGGCTCGCTGGATTATAAAGCGCATTAAGCCAAACAAAACAATCAGATAAGTCAAACTTTATTTGACTCATTCAATAACCCCGCGAGGCTACGGTAGCTGCAGCGCTCCGACAAGCCAAAAGGATTTTAAATGCACCTTATAGTGCGAAAAATACGGTATATCTATTTTCTCAGTATCAACCACTGAGAAAAAAACAGTATCAGTTAAAATGCAAGTCAACGCAATGATTTGAATCATAAGTAATTAGCTCTAGTGTGTGACAGTGACATAAAACAATGTGGTACAAGCTAAGAGTGTAAAACTGGTAAAAGATTAGCAATCGCTGTTTTTCCACATCACTTTAACCTGGTGTAAAATTGAAGTTATACTGCATATTGGTTGCCTTTCTGGAAGTCTTCATATTCGTATTTCTTCCCATTCAATAGTCAAATTGCTATTTTGATGCTACAGGACCACTCCATCCCCTTTCTTTTCCAGTTTTCTGTGTGATTGGATTAATTATGTGTCAGTCACTTTGCTAGAGGTCAGCAAACATACATTCTCGGTCATAAGTCATCAATCTATGTGACCGTGGTGATGAAAAGTCAAGCATGTCAGCCAGGAAGCTGGACAGAGAGGGATCAGCCCATTGATTTCAGGGCCAACCCAATCTCACCACAGCACGCTGCCCTGAGAACTGAAATTACCCCTATGGGCTATGTACAGTGAGCTTTATACCTTCGGTTTGTGGTGCATGATCACATTAGCGGGGGCCTGTAGAAAAGGTTGTTTCAAATGCAGTACAGGATGATTATGAAATAGAAAAGCTTGTTTGGTCCATATTCATCAACAGAAATCCATCAAAACACTGCAGTGTGGCTCAACTCTAAAGATTGCACTTCTATCACCATTCCAGTAAACACAAGTGTAGTTCTCAAAAAATGTAGTTCACATATAGAAATGTGGTAAAACTTAAAACAACCAGCTGAAAGTTTATGTTAGACGCCTTTGACACCATCTTTGATCACAGAGAACTATGTTTTTCCCCGCATTGACAGCCGCTTTGATGTTATTGCTTTCTGACAAGCACATAAACACAGAGAACCTCTATTCCTGCTTGTTTTAGAAGTTGTAGAGGTCCTTCTATCTTTGTTTTCTGGCTGTAGTGGCCATTCAAACAAAACGCTAGCACGGTCGAGTGAAAATGTAGCAAAGGCCTGCTCGGGCTTATTCTCGGGAATGTCCTGATTGACATCTGTTTCATTAAACTTCTCATGGAAGGGCTTTCCTAATTGGACTGCAGACTTGAACGCTATTGTTTCGTTTAATTTTGTGATAGATCGTAACTTTAAAGACTCTAATTTTAACAAAATGTCTTCAGCAATGTTCTTTCTCGACTTTAAAGAGGCCCTTGATCTAAAATAGTTTGACAATCATCGTTATTACAATAAATCATCCTTATAATCATTTGATTGTAGAGCGGCTTATGATAATGAGCTTAGACTAGGGTTGAAATATCTAGTGCAAAATGTAACAGAAGGCAAGGACAGACTGAGCGCGCTCACACCACAGACAGCCTGCTGGCTGCTGACGAACCAGCATCATTGTAGCTTATACTCCACTCCACTCTCCTAAATGGCTAATCTTTGTTGGATCTCACCCTTAATTGGTTAACAGTCTCCGCAGGGCAAGTGAAAGTGGTGCTATTTAAGGCTCCACCATGAAACAGCAACACTTTCATCTTGGCAATAACAGGCAACAATTATATTACCAGATTCGAAACTGAACCTTCTATCTACCCACTAATCAAAAACGCAGCCCATCTGTTGTGCTGTCTCTTTTGAAACGACGCTTTATCTGCAGCCTCTATGATAACTGCGTCTGGACCACTAATTAACAGCTAAATGGCCTCAATTAGATGTTATTTCTGTTAAAAATCTACGAAAAGAGAAAAAAAAATCAGGGAAATAAAAAACAATAAGAGCATTTTATGTTTACTCTGACTGTACCAGGCACCAATGGAGGAGCAGCATCTCTCTCTCTCTCTCTCTCTCTCTCTCTCTCTCTCTCTGACACGCGCATTTGCGTCCATGCGCACGTGCATCAATACAACCTTACTAGCATGCGCGCTCACTCCTGCTCTCCCTCTCTCTCTCTCTCTCTCTCTCTCCATCACGCACATTCAGACTGGCAGGCAGACCAGTCACACACACACACACGTACACACGCACACACACACACACTTTCCCTTAGCTGTGCTTTTGTGTTTTGTCAGAATTAATGAGAAAAGTTCCCTTGCCCTAGGGGTAATTAGTGTCCTTGGAGTTAAATAAGCTAATACTTAGACACCTCTGGCACAAGCAATTATGTTTGTGTATTGAATAATTGATTCAAAGAGGGGGGAAGGGCTGCTAATCAGATCTGAGCATAATGAATTGATTTAATTAACAGGGGAATCCGAGGGTCTCTGGAAACTGCGCGCATTTATTCAGTAGCAGCAGAGGCGAGCGCGGCACATAAACTGGGAGCGAGGCGGCGTGAGTTTGCTTTTAGCACTTGTCACATTTTGCGATTGGATTTGTTTGAATATAGTTGCTGTTTGGGAGCAAATGAGAGCGAGAAAGCGAGAATATTAACAGCGAGAGGAGCTCAGCCGTTCAGTCTGAGCGTCTGATCCGTCCGTGTGCGCACACTTATTACACATAGGCGACACTAGATTTATATCGCTTTTCATTGTTTTGCCTTTTTGCGACTCGCATGGAATTTATCAAGAGCAAGCAAGGCGGTTTGATCGCTATTTATTCGCGTTTCACTTCAGTCCGGATAGTGGGGATCTCGCCGTGTTTATAACCGTGTATTTGAATTATTATTGATAGCAAGGAGGGAGAGAAAGCGTGCAGACGGTAATTCATCTTTCCAGGGTTTTTCCTCTTTTTTTTTCTATGATTTATCGAGGCGTAGTCTAGTCAACCGCGCGTTTCAAAGCCATTTCCAGGAGCAGCAGCTGTGAGCAGACCGAGCCGTGCAGCCTGCTGGAGCCGAGGACGGATCGCCCGGGGAAGGACTCCTCGTTCCTCAGGACGATGGTGTTGGACAAGGAAGAGGGTGAGTAACATCTCCTGCTGTAGGATTCAATAACACGGGGAGTGTGTGTGTGTAGAGGGGGGGTGAGTATAACACGGCAAACTAGTGGTATTTTATGTGTTTACCCCGTGCACCCGCAGCCTTACGCTTTGTACCGGGCTCACTCAGGCTCATTTACCCGCGACAGGCATCCGTGATCCCCGCGTAAGGAGAGAGCTGCACACCGGGGGGATTGCTTTTCTGCACCGTGAAGTTGCACGAAAAACCCACTATCGAGAAAAACTGCAGTTTAGAGAGTGGGAGAGTTGGTGTTGTTTAATTCGAGCAGGGTTCGTCTGAGTTTTTGGAGGAGACTCCACAGACGCTGCAGTGCATGTGGCTCCTCTTTTTTCCCTTCCCTCCTCTCTTAAGTGCTTTTCGCGTCTGTGAAGTTAGCGAGGCAGCCTTTGACATCAGCACGGGATGGGAGATGACAGCAGAGTGCTTTTAACTTGATTGCAAATTATGGATAGCGCCGTGCAACGCTCGCTCACTCACTTTCCATCCAAATAGGCCTCCTTGCATTACTTATCTATTTCAATGTATTTAGGTTAATGGGTGAGGCAATCTAATTAATTTTAATTTAAATCAAACTCGCCTCTAATGACGTCCCATTTTGGATTAAACTGATGGAGAGATGAGCAGTGCGTTTATCCCTGCACGGTCTGCATGCATTTTAATACATTTATGCAACCTTGAAATGTTCAATTTTATAAGTTTTTCCTCCCTCTGACACTTCTTCAGGACTATTTTCACCATTGTTCTGCAGACCACCTACTAAGATGCACAATGACAACCTTATCTCACCTAAAGCACATTTTGTTGTGTTATTTATTTTTTCTTTAAGTGCAGTGCACACAGCCTTTGCACATTTGAGTTTATCCAGAGCTTCCCCTTCTCCGAAAGTAATGGATGCATTTGCAAGCCATTATTTATGTTTGAGAATGGATATTTCATATCTCTTAGCAGTGCATCCTTTCACTTACACATCTAAAAACCAATAAAAGGTTTGCGGCAGGGACATAAATTGGTCTGTCTGGATGAATCAGTGTTGTGCTGCAAATGTACCTAAATTAACTCAACTGTAAATTGTCTCCTTCGGATGTCTGCCGAGCTAAAAGTTCCCTATATGATTCATGATTCAGATTGCTTTTAACAGTTATTGGCTAAGCAATATGGTAAATGTACAAGGTGATGCAAATGGCATTAGTGGGAAAGGATGCACAGGAGCATGTAATGCAGTCAATACTACATTAACTACTGATGCCCAATTACAGAAGCAGGGAGAGTGGCTTTTAGGAGCATTAGGACTTGCAGAAAAGCTGAGATCACCTGCTGCTCATTGCCTAAAAGCTTCACCCTTTATTTGCTGGTCCCAAGCAGCAGTAGTAGCAGCAGCAGCAGCAGCAGCATTTTGGCCAGGTTGTCAACAGAGCTGCGTGGATCTGGTCTCTTTCATTGTGGTGCCTCTTAGTGTTTATTGGCTCTCAAGTTATAGGCTTGTCAATTCAACCTTCTAGCCTAATGTATCCACTTAAAAGCCTGCACAAATAACCGTGTGTTTATGCAGAGAGACGAAGACGTGGGTTTGTGCGTTTGCGTCTTTCTTGCGAGTGATTCACGTGTGTTTGTGCGTGAGTGTGTGTTAGCATGTTGCTTGAGTGTGTGTCCTTATATGAGGGGTATAAAACGAGTTATTAGTGTGTCGGGTTCAGGGTTCGAATCTTGGGATACTTGTTGGCAACTCAGTAAAGCTTACAGTTGTTTGACAGACTGGTTTGAAAGTCTGACTCCTCATTTAAACTCTGCAACAGTTCAGTGCAACAAAAGCAATAAGAGAAATTTATCACCACGCTGCTGCTTTGGCAGTCTGTTAAAAATCAACTGATCATCATGGAGATTTGAAGATTGACATACAAGCGTAAAGAGTTGGCAGTCAGCTTCAACTTAACTTATAGATTAAAATATACCCTGTTAGTTAAACGCAGCTACCTGGCTGTTTCTTGTCAATAAGTAGACTAATTTAATTCTCAGATGTTGTCAAACTTATACCACACACTGTGAAAGGCGAACAGAAACTCTTTGGTAAAATGACCTAATATTGAATCTACTGCATACTGCACATACTGCAACATATGTGTGAACTTCCTGTCAGCATGTTATTTTACCGTGTTATAAGATGACTCCATATTACGTCTAATTTAAGAGTTAAAAAAGCAACTCAGCCATTTTCTCTCCTCCTCCTCCTCATCCGTACCAGCTGCAGGAGAAGAAAGTGGGTCCACACAGTGAAGGCAGATTTTTGCTCAACATTAACACGACTATAGTACCAATCCTCACAGACCTCAGCAAGCAGAAGAAGGAGAAAAAGAAAAAAAACCTCCAGCTCCTGATAAATGTCTGGTTACCTTTGCTTGTTAATTTATGACCCTGTTATCATCCTGTCCTGTGAAATTCGCACATTCATAAAGCATGTGATTGAAAAGCAATGCTTCAGATGAATACAGACTGCTGATCTGTCGGCTGCTGTAATAAAACTTGGGCTTCAGGCTCCGATTTTTATTTTGAAATAATAAGAATTGCTTCATTCTTTACCGCTGTTACCATGGTAATACTGTCTTGTAGCGATGTTATATTGATTTAGAAAGTGGACAGTAATATTTCTTTTCTGTTATTTGGTTTCTGAGGGTTGAGTTCTAATTTCCAGCTGGAGATTACTTTTATATGTTCTTTAAGTCTTTTTAACTTTTCCAAAGGAATGCAATTTGCTCTCCTGTATTTGCTATTTTCTCAGCTTATTGGTTTGCTCTGACTTCAAAATTAAACTTGCCCATTTCAAATATTGAAATTACGTCGGCTTCTTGTGCTCAGGGCCCTGAACAATATTACAAACACATTGCTTCGTTTGATATTTTCTTAAGTCATCAGAGGGTTTTTTAAAAGAAATAAAGCCTTATTATTACAGGCATCTGCACCACCATTGCAGCACTTTTCCAATTTTGTCTTCAGCATAGCCAAAGTTGTGTTTTTAAAGTCATGAATGTAAGCTGCATACAAAGGAGCACAGAAAAACACCTTTTGGTTTGTTCATATGTGAGAAAAAGTTTGCAAGCAGATGCAATAGAAAGCAGAATCTACCTTATGGCGCATGTTACATGTTATGCATCCTCTCTGCTTTTCTCATTATTCAGTTTTGCTGAATTAAAACATAAACCACTTCTTTCCTTTTACATTTTCAGTGAGTTTTTTTTCCTCCCTCTAATCTATTTCAGATCTTCAAATGCTGAATTCCCACTGGAGATAATAATTTCACCTGTCACCACCAGCCCTCTAGATGCCTATCAGAGCTGATTGTTTTACATCTTTGAGTGCTGGAGATGTGTATCATTTCCCATAATTTTAGTGCGATTCAAAGGCACTGAATTGAGCCATACGAGACACGTGTTAGCAAGCGCGCCCACCTGCCTCCCATGTAAATGGCTGCACTCATCAGTGTGGCTCACAAACTCAATTATGCACTCTTGAGCTGTAAGAGCATCCCTTTCATTATTGCCAGAGGCCACATGCTAGCCGTGTTATCATAGAAATCCACACAACAAGATCCGGCTTCTACGCATGCATCAGAGGGAACAGTCGATTGCTGCTGTGCTGTCCAGAGTCTTACTTTTGTTGCCATTCCCTTTAAATCGTTTCTTTCAATGTCAAGAGACATTTCTGGTACATTCCTGGATTGTGTGCAAAGAGTAGAGAAGGTTGGAGAGGTAAAAGTATAACATTGAAAATTAAATGAACAAATAAGAAACTCTAAGCTGCAAGGACAAAAACATATCAGAACAAATGTTTCAGTAAAACCTTTTTACAAATCCACAATGTGCTGACAAGTTGAGACAAATCGATACTTTAAAGCACATTTCAAACCACCTTGGAGAAACCTGATGTCTTATTGCAAGGTCTGAGACAAACGCAGACATGCACACAAGCACTGCTGACACTCGCTCTTCTCTCCAACTATTCTCACCTGCAGAAAAATACACCTCAATATGCTCATGTATAGTTGAAATTATATGATGAAACATAAAAGTTGACATATACTCAGTTATTTTTATCAAATGCACCTGTTGGAATCAACTCACACTGTAAAGCCACCTCATGAGCAGCTGCTTGAGTCAACCTGAAAAACCACTTTCTCTCTGCTAACACACACACACACACACACACATACATTCCTTTGCAGCATCTCATACATTGTTTGCAAGTGGAGTTATTTATTCACCTGTTTACCTATTGTGCACCCTTTGTTCTGGCTTGTTTGTCATTGTGATGCACTCTGTAAAGCTTATTCTCCGCTCTCTCAGGAAAAATCATCTCTCCTTTATTCTGTCATCATAGGCTTAGCAAAGACGACGGGAATGATGAGAACGTGGCATGACATGCAGCAAAGTTCTCAAGATGAGCAGATGTCAAAACTACAATGTCACCAGCTTTAGTCTCTTTGGCAGCTGAGTACAAAGTGTCAGGAGGGGCCCAGAAAATGGTACCAAAGTAAAACCCTACCTGCTGTGATGAAACAATATGTCACCTGTTACACACTGAGGCAACATAAGCACGTTGTTTAAATCTTATTGGAAATGTAAACCCAAACAAGACTTTGTACATATTTAGTTTGCAACCATGATGTGCTACACTAAACCTTGACACTTTATATTAAAAATTGTCTTTATACACTCTGAAACCATTTTAGACTTAGAATAATATCTTATTATTTCTCTTACTTATTATTTATGGTCATGTTTATAAATTCAGTGTTGACAACATCTTGTTTCGCCCCTTATAATATATCCTTTAAAGCTTATCAGTGTAAATGAAAAGCATGTCTGCATGCAGGATGGCATGTTGGCGTGTATTTTAGCCTGACCCATTACCTGATTTTGAAAAGAGCTGAACTAAGCTTATAAGTTTAATTTTTCGGATAAATTGCCCTGTATGTGCTTTAACAATTGAACATAAGATGCATAAAAAGAGCAGAATTTCACTGTCGAGGTATTCATTCATCAATGGAGATTTGATTTAGAGATTCTTCAAAGCTATCGGTGCATCTTCGTACTAAAATAAGAGAAATAAGTGCCACCAGCTCTTCTGTGTAGATGCGTTGTCTTTACAAATAAAGGCCTTCATGGTGCGTTATCATAAATGATAAAGTGCTTCTTTCCCTTCTTCTTAAAGTCAGGCGTGGCTTGTTGTTACTTCTGCAAAACAACCAAGAAGCACCAGCTGACAACACCCACGTGTTTTTTCATGTGTGTACGTTTTGTAAACAAGGTGTTGATTGGTTTAGCACAAGTCAATGCTAAATGTGGGGAAGATAGACGCTTGCAAAATTAATGTTCGACCACTGTAATAATGCAGTTCGCCATATGAACTGGCCTGCTGTATTTTCTCTTTAATGTGCACATCACAGTGCCAGCAGGACTTCTTACCAATGCCATGTTTTCCATTTGCAAAAGCTCTGATCATTGATGTTGAGTTTTTTGTGTATTCTTGGCCTTACTGGTGTGTGTGTCTGAGGCTCTAAGGACAACAGTGTTTGACTGGTTGGTAAAAGACACTTTGTTCTTGTGGCTGTAATGAGAAGGGCGGCCTCTAGGGGCTGCTAATGGGACTTTAAGTCTTTCAGATTGATTCCCTGTAAATGTCTTTCAAACAAGTCCCTGTTTCATTTTATTGCAGCTGCATTCAGCCTCGGCCAAAAGTTGGCGTCACTGGACTCTGTTGCATCTTCAGCAGGGATCTAAGTTTATTGTTTTCTTTCTCCAGAGCTGTATCCTGCATCATACAGCAGTCAAACTACAAATTGTGATAATGTTACTTGACAACTGGTATTTGTAAACCAGTAACTTGCAGTTCTTTGTCTTGTGCATGTTTTCATGCATTATGTAGCTGTCACCCAGCTTCGGTTGACCTTTTCAGTTTTATTTTTGGCAAAACAAAACATTTGTAGGTCAAACTCAACAAATTGAAGGCCTCCTAAGAAGTTCTTTTTGACACATGAATGCAGAATAATAAGTGAATCGTGACTCTAAACAACTATTGAAGCCACTGAGAGGCTAAGTGAAGGAGCTTGGCACCGCTGACCACGCTACACATGGATGAGCCATTTCTGTTGCTTTATCTCCTGTGACGATACTTTCACGTTCAGTCCTCATTTCTTATATCATGGCAGAGCTAAGGCATACAGATTAAAAGAGAGCGGTCAACAAAAATTACACTCTCCCTACTCACCCTCTCTCCAGTCGCCATCTTGGTGAACAGGTGTATATAAACCCTCTCAATCATTCTACCACTACCTGACCACACCCCCACGACATGTGACAAATGCCAACACAGCACCCGCTATGCAACACCAAAACACAGCAACCGACCATATTCAAACAATGAGAGACAGTTATTTTGTTGATAAACTTAAAAAAGTACGAGATGCCGACTATGACTCATCTTGCCAAGAATTAATCTCTTGAAGCCTTCAGTAAATCAAATCTTAAATAGCTAATTAAAGTCTTTGAGTTTGGGGGCCTTCTGTTTGTCGTCTTAAAGCTGATGGATTAGATTTAGGATATTTTAGCTGAATGATTAATTAGTCCTTTATTATGATGTTTGAAAATATAATTTCTGAGCCATTTTGTACAATATCGACCCATCTCCTTTCCAACCAAACATCATTTATTTTATAGTATTTCACTGAAAAAGTTTTTGGCTGGACTGCCAGCTGATCCGAGCTAGTAACAAGTACGGGTGGGAGCAAAAATCAATACAGCATAGTATCGTGATATTTTGTCTGGTGATATACCGTATCGTCTGATTTACAAAGTATTGATCTTTCAAATTATTGCTAATATGAAGTCAAATCTATGATTAAAGAAAAATAAAATCAACTGTTTGTCCAGTGAGGTTGGCAGAGGTGACATCTTAGAGCAGGAGAAAGTTAGTACAACAAAAATATATGTAAGGTTTGCAACATGTGCTACATGAAAATAAAATACAGCGTAAATAAGACAAACATAAAGGAAAGCCAAATGCTAAATTAGCTAAACAGTTTGTGTGAATCGCAATACTCGTATCGCATAATGTTAAAAATCGCAGTAATATCGTATTGTGGCCCATGTATCGTGATAATATCGTGTCGTAGGGCCACTTGTGATTCCCATCTGTAGTAACAAGAATAGGAAAATGATAATAGAGGGAAAAAAGCATGAAACGTTGTCGACTGAATTCCTCTCGTGAAACTACAAGAGACAGTTTAGTCAGACATCCCACATGACATCACGCACAATATTCGAGAAGACGGCTTCCCAATCTGCACCCACTCACGCCTCCCTCATTATTTACCCCATCAGGTGCAGGAGTAGAATGACATTAGAGGCCTGTGCTGCCAAATAACTGCCCCCCTGTGGGGAATTTGCATTATTCAAGATTAAAGAGCCTCACACAGTGCGCCTCAGTATGGTGTTCCTTCTTCCCCTCCATTTTCGACTCACTGAGGACCCTGAATGGCACACCTGTCTCCTGGCATATCCTTTGAAATAATAAGTGTGCGGTAATTGCTGGGGAGTGGGGAGGATTTTGAACATCACTTCCTGACCTCGTGAGTGACACAAACTTTAGAGGGCTACATTTATTCCCCTGCAAATGCATTTTTAATGCGGACTAAAAGTGTTTGTGCATTATTCTGTTCCGGACAGCGGAAGGTGGCTCTGACAGGTCTAATGGTTGGATTTCTTCTTTTTCTTTTTTTTTTGTATTTTGTCAGAATTCACAAAGTGGCAGATAAGATTGCCTCGTCTATCAAAGTTTGTAAGTATATAGTTTGTGAGTAGATGGATTTTTTTCGTCATTCAATCTCGAATGCAGACTCTGAAAAAAAAAATGATCCTGCACCTTTTTGTGTATAGGGAGTGAAGATGAAGATGCATGCAGCCGCTCTGTTATTGACAGCTTGCACTTCAATGAAAAATGGTAAAATGGCAGCTTTTAAGAACTAAACACCTCACACCCGCCACAGACAAAGCCCCACATCACGCCCACTTGTGATTGGCTTGATGCAAAACAAAATGGTCTTGTTGCTCTGTCAACACTCTGACAGCCCTCCCTCTTTAAGAGCTCTCAGGGGTTTATTTGGGGTAACCCTGCATGATAAAAACCATCAGTGTTTGTGTCGCTTCTCCTCCTCTTCGTTCATCTTATCCCCTCACTCTTATTTTCTTGCCCCATCTCCCCCCTCTCTCCCTCTTTCTGCTGTTGACAGCTTACCTTGCAGAGCTCTAATCTCCCCCTACTACTGAGCGACCAAGTGTTGGAACAAGTCTCCTTCTGTAATAATTTGGAAACTCTGCCAGTTTCATGTCTTTAAAAAAAAAAGCAGCAATGAATTTAATTAGAAAGCTGTTGCATATCTCTGTGATACATTTCTTTTAATTAACCCCATGTGAATAAATTAAAAATAATAGGGGGCTGAAAAGTGTGGAAAAACACCCTAATGAAGTTTTCCGTTAATTGGGATGGAGTCTGCTGCCAAACCACAGTGAGAAGTGAGCACCAGGAGCTAAGAATGCCTTCTGTAAACCTCAGAAAAAGGGCCCAGGGCCTTCGTGCTGACTTCAAGTGTAAGAAATGCACCTCTGACGTGATGGAAATGACCGTGGGCCGGGAGAAAAGGCAGTCCTGTTCCAGTCTGCTCTGCTGAGACTCCCCATGCCGCGCTTGAAGCCGGGCCAGTGTTATTGCAGCCCTAATGCGGCTGACTCATTTGGAGCGGATCAGGAGTAATTATGGTAGGGAAAGTGGCTGCCGACCGTGGGGGTCAGGACACTTGTAACATGTGAAAAGAGCAATTATTCCAGGAGACAAAACCCTCCCTTATCCCGGGCAGTGCCAGGGTCAATGCAAGGGACGGCTGGGCTCCGTTTCACCGGGGCTTATTAGCCGCAGCAAGCTGCAAAGTTTGAGAGAGTGCATCTTGTTAATGAACAGTCCCCTCCTCATCTGCACCGGCCCTGTCTGCTCTCTCGCTCTCTCTCTCTCCCTCACCCTCCCTCTCTCTCTCTACCGCTTACTGTGGGTGTTAATTATGTCATAATCATAGCATGCATACAGTCCCAGAAAGCACCTCACAGACCCCAGCATTCATACACAACCATCTGGAAATGTAGTATGCAGCACAGTAACACAGAAGGCTTTTATAGCAAACTATACGAAGAAAAAACCCTCTTAGTATGACATGTTATATTGACTTGGACCATGTAAGAAAACTACCTTATTTGAGAGGGAGTGTGAGTCTGTGTTTTTCCTCTCTGCGAGCTTTGGCGTACGTGTGTGTGTTCACATATGCCACAACTAAAGGATAGGAACATGAATCACTGAGTGAATCAGTGGTCTTTATTTTGCCTATCATTTTTAATACACTCATTAGTCTTCTTTTAAACTGGCATGTGTGTTCCAGCTGATTTTATTATCACCAGATGTCTTGTATTTTTGTCTTTCGGTGATAGAGAAACGCGTCCGTCTTTGGGCTCAATTACAGGGATGACGGAAGCTGAATGAAAGGGGCTGATTCAAGCACACAATGGGAAAGACATCTGCATGAGATCCCCATTAACCTCAGAGGCAGATACCCTGGATTATGGACACATTTTATTTGGGATTGCCATGGCCACAGTGCTTGCAGTGGTGGCAGAAAAATAAAAAGAACGGGGTTTAATTTAGCCCCCGCTGCTTCCAAACTGTGGAAGGTTTCGTTGTTAAAATCGAGGTTTAATTTCCTCTTTTTGTATTTTCTATATTGGTTCATCTCTTACAGTCCACAGGAGGAATAATACATTATAATGTAATGCTCATTTAGAGCACTTCTAAGAGGACATTTTCAGTGTTAAAGGGTTCATAATGTGCTATAATGGAATACTCATGTAGATTTTTTTTATGCCATTACTGGCAGTTTAATATCCCGGCGAACTGACTTGGACAAAGCGATAGGGGCGACAAATGCACTTGTTTCAGCTAAATGCAGTTATTTGATCCTACAGCGTCTTATTTTCTCTGACTTTGTGTACGTATGCACCCTGCTGGTGGTTAACCATCTTATTTGCTGCAGCTGGGAGTCGGAATTATAGGGGCCCCTGAGAGGAGGCCCACCCAGGGCCAGCTTCCACCTCACTGAAAGCCCACCTCCCTCCCCATGTGTCAGGAAGGCTGAGTGATTCTCATCAAGATCCTTTATCTCCCAGTGAACCAGCAAAGTCTGTATCACACCATGGCGTCAGTGCTTTTAATTGATCAAAAGACATTAAAAAAGGGGAAAAAAACTGAGAATCAGATGTTACTGTCCCCTCCGCCATTAAGACTGAGTGCCTGAGAGAGCAGCTGCTCCTCTGGGAGTGAGTGTGTGAGTGGGTGTGTGGTGAGGGATGAATCTTCAGATAGTTTACATCAATTTTAGTTAATGTGTTTAAAATCAAAAGAAATAATCAACTGATTGATCAATCGCAGGTGATTTAATATGTGATATGTGGTCGCGGTTTCTTGAATTTCAGGTATTGCCGGGTTTGTTTTGTACTATCACTATCGTCATGAGTTGAATATTTCTGTGTAGTTTGGTGTCTCACTAATCAGGGTTTGAAGCTTTAATTTAAGAGTTAAACCTTCGAGTTTTGGGTCTGTCAAAGGAAGCATGTTCACTACATAGATGTCCATGGGTTGTTAAAAGTAAACAGAAGATTATCACCCTCCTTTATGACCTTTGTAGAACAGGCAGATAATCAATGATATTAATCATTAATGAAGATAATTAAAAGCTGCAGCTTCACATGAAACTTAATAGTGCAGACTTTAGTATCTGGTGTTCATTATTTTTGTCTTTTTGTGATAGTTCTCAGTCTTTTAGCCACAAAAGTTCAAGGAAATATGGCATTAAGTCTACCCTACATGGCGCAGCATTGCTCGTGGTTCTGGGATTCTGGTGATACCAATGAAAAGAATTTCAGACTCATTTAAATTTCATTTCTACAAAATTCAGCATAATTACTTTAACATAGCTAAACAAAGCATAACAGAGTCTGTGGGTAGGCAAGGTTGAATTCATTTGATGAGTGTGGCTGAAGGTAGCAGAGCTAGCTCCACCAGCCTTCAGCCTTCCTTGTAGGTTAATAACCACGTCTGTGCATGTTACACATTGCTTTAGCTAAGAGGTTACATACCACTTTTAAATACAACTCTAAATATATGCAACAAATAGCCATTTGTGCACTGTGATTAGTTTCATCCAGGTTGTAGAGTATTTGACCTTTACAGCGGTTTGACTGTTACAAGAATATAACTCTAACTATGCACATGTATTCCTATTTTAAGATGAATATAGGAAAATAAGAGGAAATCTCTACACTGGTACAAAGAAAAAAAACCGAACACTTCAGTGATAATGATCAAAAAGAGACTATAGAGGATATCATCAGTCTTTCAGACACTCTCGTCCTGTCCGTAGAAACATAGGTCAGACCCCGTCTGTGTTATAATTGTGTTTCTCTAATATCAACACTTCCTTGAGTGCTCCAAACAGCGAGTTCTCTCCTAAAACCTTAAACATATCAAAAAAAGGTTAGCAGACTGATGTGATTCTTCCGATAGCGGTAACGACAGAAGTCTAAATGGGGTAACATAGAAATCGGATGCTATCTCTATAATGGAAAATACATGCTCTGACAGACTGCTTGGGCTGAGAAAAACTAACTGTACATATGCTTGAAAGATACAATCTTAAAAAAAAGTAAATGGATAGAAGCCGGGAGAAATGACAGGGCTTTACGCGCAGTACTAATGGCAAATTAAATTCCTGCTCAGGATGGATTTTTGGCAGGGTGAGTGCTGTCTCTCCACTTTGAGAGCTAAAATGCATCCCTTGTTGGAGAATGAATCGTGATGTTGAGAGGCATGCTTTTGGTGACATCAAATGACACTGGAAGGTCAGTGGCACTTGTATCTGTTAAATGGATTGGATTAAGTGGAGGCTGCCTCCTAGTCTGCTGCTTCCTTTCATAATGCAGCTTTTCTTTTTCGGGGAGGCAGCGAGCATGGGAGGTTCTGTTCTCCTCCACAGTTTCACAAGGCGCCAGGAGTGGTGACAGGTGCAGGAAAATGTCTCGTGGCATTAAGGGAATTGAAAAGACATTTACTTTACACACTCATTTTTTTTTCTGTCACTGCTCTTTGTTTAGGAGGTTCGAGCTACTGCTTGCTATACTACTATTAAAGCTGTTTTCCAGAGGCTGCTTTGGTACAAGACATCAAACCAATGTTTGTTCCCTGCGACGGCGTCAGGAAAACAGCGTCAGTTGAATGTGCAAACTGGTTTCCTGGCAGACATGAAGCATTCTTCCACTGAGAAATCTCGGTGTCGGGGGCTTGAAGCACCGGGATGTATGCATGAAGACAAGAATGTCAGATTACGTGCAAATACAGAACGCGGGTTTCATAAAAGACACAAATGGAGCAAAACAAAGCAAGCATCCGATAGAGGAGGCGAGCAGCAAACAGCTATTCCAGGATAGGTTAGGCTTTGGCCTTTTCCAACGTGCTGTAAAACACAGGAAGAAATGTTTAAGGAGTGGTGGTCTCAACCAATTAGGAGCAGTTCTCTGGAGGTGGAGGAACGACCTTTTTGTATAATTAGTTCTCTTATTTAAAGCAAAGATTTTGAGTAGAATAACTAATTAGGTGTCATAAAAGGCAAATTAAAGATTTTGGTGATCCCCTAGGGGATTGCAGCAACTCTTTTCTTTTCTTTGCACAAGCCTTAAAGCACAAGCATGCACATGTACACACACACAGACACGCACACACACACACACGCAGGCATTTTCTCTCTCCTCATTAAGACTGTTTTTAGTTCTGTAGAAGTCTGTCAGGCCAGCACTGTTGGCATACCTGCAGAGAGCTCCCCTAACAAGCCGTGAAATGCAGGTAGAGGAGTCCACCCTTAGCCAGTAGGGCTTGAATTTGAAGCTTTTTAGCTTCATTTACACTGAACATTGGTATTTATAGTAGGTTTTGTGATCCTAATGTGCCAGCTTCAAGGGGCCTGTTTTGAAAAGGGAGGGGTTAAGGGAGCTGGAAGGCAGGCAGAACACTAATTGATGGCTCCCATCGCCAGCACTGAACCAATAAGCCTCTACCTTTCACTTCTGATAAAGAAATAAGATGTCTCAACACCACCAGAGCACTTACTGACACATAAACCAAAGCCATAAATTTAACTAACAAGCTCTCCTATTTCTTCCACCTCTTCTTTTAAAAGGGGCAAACGCTAATTGTATTATTTTTACGGCGTCATTGATGTGCAGATGGTCAAGAATAGCAGAGCAAATCTGGATCCAATGAAGCACTTTGAGAGTCAATTTGGGTGTGCAAATATGAGTGTGTGACAGAAAGAAAGAAAGAAAATATGCTTTTCAACTCCAAAGTAGCTCTTTGAAAAGCGGTGGAAGGTTTTCATGAAAGAGAACGAAGCTGACAGGCTTAGGGGGAAAAACTGCGCTCGGAGTGAAGCAGTCCCCTGTTGCCGGTTGAAGTCGTGTTTATCACTGAGCAAAACCGCAAGAAGTTACTGTAAAATGGCAGCTCTTACAACACAATGACCCCATTCACACTCACCATTACACTGTCGCAACCCTGCATAAAGACAGGTAAATAAAAACTTTATCTAGTCAGGACAAAATGTACCAAACGCGCATCTCGAAAGTGCAACAGTTAACGGTGACATTTCGTACTAAAGTCTGTATAACGTGTCTGTAAAACAGGCCTTTATAGATATCCACACACACACACACACGTACGAAATGCTTGCCTAACCCCCTGTCATGCAGAGTGTCCAGCCTTTTTTTGTGCGGGAGAGAGAAATGTGTTTTGAAAGTAGAGTGGCAAGTGGCGTCCACTGTGTGTTCTTTTAGATGGATCAATAGCTCAGTGTGTGAGAGAGTGTCTTAAGAGCTGTTGTCTTGTGCTTTCAGCTGTGGCAGACCTGTTAGTGCTACAGAGGGGAGCTGCGCGCCCCTGCCTCTGTACCACCAGTGGCCTGAGGGGGGCTTTTAGTCCAAACACAAATGTCAGCCACACATACACTATTAGTGTTTAGTGCAGTTATTAAATGGACTTTATTTGTCCTTTAGGAGGCTAAAAGGCGTGCTTAAAGGGGACCTGCGTGACAGCAGGGCAATTTGCGAGTTTGGTAACTTAGGCTCGCTTGTTGCAGACACATGAGTACAGATAAGTGTAAAAGGAGGAAAAGGCTGTAATGCTCTGAGTACTGTGTGTGTATGTATTTGTGGTTTGCCTGCACTAATGTGTGTGTGAGGCTGTGTCAGTGTGTCCCTGTGTGTGTGTATGAAACACAGAGAGTGAGTGTATGCTAAAAGGCACTTAGGCCATAACATATCTCACTGGGGTCTGGTAGCAGCGTTTTTGTGGTCAGAGGCTTTTTAAAAGGTTAATGTTAATCTATACTAAACAAAGCCCATGAGGAGCTTTTACAGCTGTGGACAGTTGAGTGAAATGGGCTTTGATGAAATGGTAGGTAACTAACGTGCTACTCGGCTCGCTGTAAATACCACAGTGTGCAAAATAAACATTGTGTCTCTCATCCCGAGGAGCACACACAACATGCCCCTTCCTCTGAAACCTGCCGCCAGTGATCATGTAACTTTTGTACTACAGCATGTTCCTGGTGGAACAAGTAAGTCAGGGCTTTGTAGTCCAATGTGACCCGTGTGCCTATCTACATGGAAGAATGTTTTCTTTAATGCATATGAAGCAGGTAGGCAGTGTGCTGTGGCTGCGCGCGAGGGCCAAGCTTAGACGCCTCGAGAAGCAGCCGGCTTATCAAAAAAGAGAACATGAAAAGTCACTCGTGTTCCCAGGCCGTAAATCACGCGTTGCCTGTTTGTCTCCTTATCACTTACAGGTGTGCCGATGCTCTCCGTCCAGCCCAAAGGGAAACAGAAGGGGTGTGCTGGCTGCAATCGCAAGATTAAAGACCGCTACCTGCTCAAGGCCCTGGACAAATACTGGCACGAGGACTGTCTCAAATGTGCCTGCTGCGACTGCCGCCTGGGGGAGGTGGGCTCCACCCTCTATACGAAAGCCAACCTCATCCTCTGTCGTAGGGACTACCTGAGGCAAGAAATCCACACAGTCACCTCTTAACACTCACAACAAAAACAAAGAGCACCTTATTCCTAGAGCTGTGTGACATGAAAGGATCCCGGCAGCATTTGCTTTGGGTTTCGCTGTAGCTCCCAATTCACACATAGCGGCTTAAATCCATCTAAATCATGCAGATAACGCTGGGTATCGACTTCATAAAAGAGAAACCCAACATGGAGAGAGTTTAATGTCATATTTATATCATGTATACACCAGAGAGTGATGTTACTCCAACATACCAGGCAGAAAAAGGAACATTTAGGGCATTTACAGCATTTCCTCCACTGTAAATATTCTCAATACCTGTGCTTCACTACAGAACTACAACACTATGTATTCTATAAATACCAGCACAACCATAGCAACCCTGTTAGAACAGCTCTATTACTACAGTCCACTACCTCATCACAGCATCTCCAATCATGACTGTTCAATTCAACTGTGTTTAAATATAAAAACAACTTAATTACACTCACAGCTACAACCTTATAATTACTTTGCACCTTATTTCTTTACATATTTGTAAAGTCAGTTCTCCTATTATGTCCTAAAATGTGTATTTTTTTGCATAGTTGAAGCCATGATGTGTTTGCATTTGTGGTGTTTTTGCTTCTGTTTTCAGCTTTTTTCAGTGTTTACATGAAAACAGAGGACTCATGTCATAGACTAGATTTTAGTAACAGTGTAGAGGAGCTGTAGGCTGTAAGAAAACTCCCAGCAGGCTTGTTGCTTCATCACTGTCTTTGGCCCAATACCCCCACCCCCCACCCCACCCCTCTTCAGATGCCCCTGCCATCTGCTTGTTAAATTAAACATGACCATTTCCTGGGCGTTCAGTCACATTCCCAATGAGATCCTACCATTTATCTGAGGGAGAATCCCCCCGGGGTCGACTTAGGGATGCCGGTGCCCTAAACCCCCCCTGCACACACACACACACACACACCCTCTCCTAAAATCCATGTCCTCCCCTCTCTCTCCCTTTCTAAACCACCCTCAAGGTTAAAATCAGCAAATTAATTTCAATTAAAACAAATAAAGCATCAGATATGATTGTGTGTCACCTCTCACTTCCTAATCAAAGAGACCCTTAATCAGCTTGGTTATTTTCCGACCTCACTCGTGGATCTCTGTGACATCTCACTTATACCTCAGCTCCTCCTCTGACCTGGAAGGAGCCTGTAACCCACTTGAGAGGTGCTTAGGGATGTTATGTTGAGATAGGCCATTACCATCCATCAGTTCCCACCCACAGTTAATGCTTTTAAGATGCAGTGAGAGGTCCACTAAGACCTAGTGTTGCCCCCAGAAGGGGCAGATGGTGCAGATGAGGTAATAATAAATGGGCAAATGACCAAGAGAAGGCAAAAATGATGAAGCTCGGAGTTTCACTTGGTAAAATACATCTGCTGAAAGGACAGCAACCCTAACCCCCTCCCCCCTCCCGCCATAAGTGCCTAACTGGCACTGAGAGGGAAGAAGGAAAAGCTTTCTCGCACATTAAACCAGTAAGATGTAGAGGTCAGAGAAGGTATGAAAAACTGAGAGTGACATATGAAATCAAGAGTTAGGAATAGTGAAATAAGAATAAAAGGAAAGGAGGAGGAGAAAGCTTTCTGTGCTCCTCTGTTGCCCCGGACTGCCTAATGAAATCCATCCCACTCGCCTACTCTTCAGCCTGCGACAAATGCAGAACACTTAATGGCTGGAGATGCTTGAGATGAATTCTATTATGGAACAAATTAAAAACCTTGCCTTGCGTATAGAGAAGAGGCAGTTTGAAAGTATTTGAAAGTAGGTGATGCAGTCTCCCTCCTGTTTCCCTTTCATTTCTTTTTTTTTTCCCCGTGCAGAAAGACGAAGGCTCCCCTCACCTGCAGTAATGAAGTTAAATCTGTGCGCTGAATTAGCCTCCTGCACTTCATTACAGACGAGCCCGTGGATCAAACACACTTTGGTTATTTCCCAGGGTTTGGAACCCTGCCATGTTCACATTAATTATTATAGGAGCTCCATCTGTGATTGTCCTTCACTGGCATTAGCAACTTATTGAATGCACTCACGCTTTTCTGAATCTTACACACCATCACACACAAACACTAAAACGCACACGTACCTTAAACTGCGTCCTCCTGTGACCTCCAAACAGCTAGACCACAAAAAGTTCTGTGTTTAACGTCCCTGACTTTCATTTCCCTGTATCAAGAGGGTTTTTTTTGGCCACACTCTTTCATGATAAATGAGAATAATAGATTAATTAGCTATTTCCTTTATGTCTAGGGCCCAGGATGGTACGACTCCACCAGAGGGTTGACAATCTAGTCATGGTGTGATCATCAGGACTTGAAGCCTGAAATCATTTCATCTTCTATTTCATATATTAGAGAGGACATAATAGTCATCCACTTATCAAAATGGGGTATAATTAACTGTAAGAGGGAAAACGTTTTCAAGATAACGAACATTTTAAGTTATCCACAAACCGGTGAAATAGCAGCAGGAAGATGATAGTTCCATCTGGATGTGACTGTTTTTCAAATCTGTCCTCTCTGTGCTACTTTAGGATGTAAAACAAATGCTCCCCTCCTCTTCTCTGTAACAGTTGCTCTCCCTCTGTGGGAAAGAAAGGAGTGAACAGAAAGGTTTACACTTTAAAAAGACACAACTGTTGGGTAGGGTCAGAGCATGTGATGCATGCATTAACAGCTTTCCCTTTTTATGAAATCTGACAAACCCCGTGCAGGCCGGGAAGTCTCAAAGAGCTCAGAGAACAGGTAAAAAAACTTCAAGAGCAATAGCCCAGTCTGAGGGAAGCAATTCGGAGAAGAAGATGATGCAGTGAAGCAGATTTAAAGGTTTGAAGTTAGCAAGTTAAAAGACCATCTTTTCTCTACAGACCCCTCATAATAACTCGGTAACACAGAAAGTAGAGCTTCTTTGCATTCCTGCCATCCAGCTATACTCCCAACAACCTACATCTGCACACAGAGTTTAGACTAGAGCCGCTAAAAATGAGGTTTTTATTACACTGAAGATTCAAGCATGGGCAACATTTAAAGATTTATATAACCTTGAAGTATGTTGAAAAATGGGAGAGACCCATGATCGATACGTTTGATTCTTTGGTCAACACAGCACACCACACACCAACAGATAACAACCAGAGTCCTGACTCTCTCACAAAATCTCAAACACATGCCCCAGTGATTAAATGTTGTCAAACTAAATGTTGCTCACTGCTTAGCTACCTGACACACCCACAATTTGTTGTTCTACTGTAGTATTTTTCACAGGACACTTTGTGTAAACACACGAGATGGTCACAAATGAACATGTTTGACCTCCATTTTTGTCATTTACCCGACTTAATTTTGTTTACTATCATCACTGTGGCTGCAGTTTTAATTTGTTGTGCTTCCTTATTTAAAAATTCTTTATTTTAATGAGCATTTTTGCGTTTTTCGTCTGTTACTAGTAGGACAACTTTAGTGCACTAGGAAAAGAAAAATCACCCCCTGCAACTTCACACGATGGAAAAATCTTGCAAGTTAATCACCATGCAGACTTTGTCAAAAGGAGGAAATCAGACCCAAAATCAGCCCAATTGTCTCATAGTTCACTCTACCCCTTATACCCCACTTATAGCTAGGGCTGTCAAAATCTGCTAAAAATGACATTCAGATATTCAGTCTAAAAAACCATAGATATTAGAACCAAATGCACTCAGCATATATTTTGTGTTTATTTTGTGTATTTGGCTGGTCAAGCCGCCAGCCTGTACTGTCCAACAAGGTGCTGATGTTGCTGCATTTGCCAACAAGTCGTATACCTGAAGGGCCAGAACTGGTCACCTAAGTAACAAGGAAAACAGATGCTCGTCAGATAAAGATCATGATAACAATTAAGCCCATTCTGGGACAGTTCACCTGTATGTTTCTGCTGGGGTTATGATAGTAAGAAAAACAGATGACATAATGTCTAATGTTGGCAGATATGGATTTTTTGTCATCTAACTGGAAGATAAAACATAATGCATTATTTAAGAATGTTGTTGTGTTACATTGTTATTATGATTGTATTCTAGTCTACTTATACACACACAATAAAATAGGTCTTATAAGTAATATCTTTCTGTGTAGGAAGAAGTTCTTGAGAACACACTTCATTCCAGCAACACCCAGCCTGCCTACACTTTATACCACATTATCCTGTTCAGAAATCCAAACCAGAATGTCTGACAGGTTGTGGAGGCAGCTCAAATCTGCACCTCTAACCCCCATATCCATACAAATAAATCAGAGAGACGTTAGTATGAAAAAGGACTTATTGGGCTAAGAACTACGAAGCTGATGATTGATAGATTAAAACCCAAAGGGCTGAGTCTATAAGCTATATTATCCAGAAATTCACCTTTAACTCAGTCTGTAAATGAAGAGCCTAAAAAGAAATGATGTTGATTTTAAAGCTTTTTCACTGCGAATATTGATGTCTTTAATCCAAATGACCAGGGAAATTGAAGTGCATGAGTCACTGCACTCCCACAATACAGGACATGTGTCAGAACAATACCTGAAAATTATGCAGAAAATGGTCTATTCAAACTAAAAGTCTCTTGTAAATTAAATGTTTGTTTTTTTATTTTCAAAAGGTGCAACTTTTTTGTGAGGGCACTGTTTCATTGCTGAAAAACATTTCTTTTTTTTTTTCATTTATTTTTTCGGTGGCGTTGGTTTGTTTGTTTGTCTGTTCGCACTTTTACGGAGAAAGTAACAGACGGATTGACCTGAAATTTTCACCAGAGGTGCGTCTCAGCCCCATTAAATTTTGGTGGTGATCCGGACAAAATTCTGGATACTGTGATCCAGAACACACAAAAATAAGGGTGTCGTTGGAATTTTCAATGCTGAAAGATAACCAATGGGCGGCACAGTGGTGTAGTGGTTAGCACTGTTGCCTCACAACTAGAAGGTCCTGGGTTTGGATCTTGGCATTTCTTGTTTAAGGGGGGACATGAGCTGCTTGGCGGAGGTCTGCGCTCTCCAAGTGCTTTTCTAGTTCTTTCCAGATGTGTACAGGGTCATGTGTATCATGCAGGATGCGCAGAAACCTTGAAAAATCGTACATATCACTCACTCTTCATTTTCTATAGCCACTTTAGCAAATGTCATTAGCTCTATAGATCTTTTGAGTATTTTCCATTCTTCGGCAGAGAATAAATGTTATATACCATCCTCTGTCTTTGCTTTCATAAGCTTCAACGGACCTTTCTGTGCCTAACTGGTTTCACTCGTCACTTCTTCATTTCTGTGGTAATAAGTTACATTCTCTGACATTATGTCTCTTTACATTTGCCTCTTGATTGTGCCAGTGTGAAGTGTTTATCACTTGCTCAATCTCAGCTGTTACTCATGAGACTGCAGCAGCAGCAGCAGCAGCAGCGGTTCAACTCTGGTTGCTTTTAGCTTCACAGGAGCTGAGAGAGAAGAGTGTTATGTTTTTGAACAGTTCTCTTTGGCTGTAATCTCCTCTTAGCATGAGCAGCCCAATTAAACCGAATGATGATGCCACTTTATGACTGAGGCACATCAACTGCTGGCTGAGGACCTGCGTGAATGAGACCCAAAAACACCATTGCACTTAAATACACTCTGATTCTTAGTGTTGAGGTGGAGTTGGAAGATTTCTATTTGCTTGACAGTTGAGCACAAAGCAGCAAAGGCAGTTCGATAAGCATGGAGGACACTGACCTATTAAAACGCTAATGATTTAAAGAATATCAGGGTAATTAAGAGGGACCTTGTTAGTTAAGAGAACTTGACATTGTACAGTCCATTCATTCGATTAAACATCAAGCTGAATGGCACAAAGCCTTTTTTATATTCTCTTCAAAATAGTTGTCTCCCTTTTGACCAGCCAATTAAAGTACTACAATATAAGCTGCACAGATAATGAAGGGAATTTTAAAGGTGTAGGTGTGTCCAAGAGATGAGACTCATGCTGCCTGATATCAACTTTGGACCGTTTCACACAAGGACGTGATCTCAGTTAGGTTACCTATTGTTTTCTGTAGTGGCGTAACAAAGCCAAAGACAGTGGTCACAATTAGGGATGGGCGATAAATTGTCGTATATATCGTCAGAAAAATCCATCATAATTAATATCTGTCATCTCATGATAAATACAATAAATGCAGGTTGATTAGATAAGGGCGAGTGACGGACTCGCAGCGATAGCCCACACAGAGCAGAAAACAAACAAACATGGCCGAAGGTAATGAAGAAGACATTTCTGAGCGTTACTGAATGCGGCTCGTCGGGGTGAAAATATACTGATATCAGCACAAGGAGGCCATTAAACACAAAAGGCTAAAATATAAATATTCAGCAAACCACTGGACGTTGACTGTAAATTGATGCAGAAAAAAATCGAGACGACCAATCAGAACTATGGTCGACTCAGAACGTATCAACCAATAAGTCAACCGGTCGACAAGGACTTTACAGCCCTAGTGTCCACCTGTTTATCTACCAAGTAATGCAGATAAATCGTCAACTATTACTGTTCTTTTATTGGAACCAGACTGTAAACAAAACTCTGAATTCTTGACTTTTGAAGTCAGCCCCTAGTGGACACTCAAAGAACTGCAATATCTAGCACCCTCACTTTGGTGTCTTGAGTATCGAATGCTGTACTAATAATCTAAAATCTCTCTGGTCGTTTTTGATCTCAGGGAGTTTTTTTTTAACAAACACAAACACAACTGGATAAATCTATAATCAATCAGAGCAACAAGAAACGGGATGCAAGGCTAGGTAGTTCGAAAGTTACTTCCGGGATTTTTTTACAGCATAATGCAGTCATGAACAGTATGACAGTGATGTTACAACAACAAAATTATGCCCATACTCAAAACTGAGGTGACACTGAAAATCATGAGAATACAAGTCCAAAACAAATTTTTAATAATGAGTTAAATGTTCACTATAGGCACTATAAAGATGTGCCTTGTTTATTGACTGTGTTTGTCTGACACCACAAAACCTTCCAGCCTGTAAACTAATCTGTTCAGTTTTACACTCTTTGGAGAAGTCTGGGTGTCTGTCACTGTGATGGTTGGTGAGGTTTTCAGTGTTTTCACTCTTGCATGACACTATTTTGTAGCATCTTTGCACACAGGCAATAATAAGTTAGTAGATTCACTATGAGAGTTGGCTCTAACAGCAAAGTGGTCCTGCAGGAGACTCAGCAGCAGGTCCTGTTCTCAAATTTAGGGTGTGGAGGTATCATTTGGAAGATGACTCCTTGTTAGTGTTGGTAGTGGACATGCTGAGACGGAGGCATTGCTTTTCTCCCTCTCAGTGGAAGTCGAGGCTCTCACTGAGTGCAAATGACTAACAAGCACAAACCTCCCTAAGCGTTGCCACCAAATATGCCTCCACTGCCAAAGCTGCCGTCTTGTGAAAATAAAAATAAAGTCATAATTTGACGCTGCATAAAGTACCGGACATAAATTCAGAGTCTAAACTGTAGTTTATTGTGCAACAAGACAACATGATATGATTTAGTAGCAGTTTATGTGAAAAAATGTTTGGTTAAGAAAGAGACCAAATGCATCAGCCATAGAAATCTAATTTAAAAATTAAATGCATAAATAAACAAGGGAGAGAATGTAAACAGATTTTTGTACTGGTACAGCAAATACTGTAAAGCCTTTAGTAAAGCCTTGCAAACATTTGTTGTGTGATATCTTTTAGAAAGTTTTTTTAATTGCTAATTTTTTAAGCTTTATGAAATTAGTTTGAACAGCGCATACAATGCTCTATTTTCATCTTGGGTGGTGTGCAGCCAAATGCAGCTTGCAGTAGTTAGGGTAGCGTCTGAAGAGGCAAGTTGCTTTATTAAAAAACAAAGTACGTAATTGTAACTTTAAGGCAAAACCCCGCCTCTGGGGCACACACAGCTTTCACTGAAGATAGAACTTAGCGCCGGCAGCCAGCTGGGCCCCCCCACCGGGCATTTTCACAACCTGTATGTATCAAGTGAGCACCATGTCCACAGCCCAGCAGGGTGTAATGGAGATGGGTTGGAATAATCCCACGAGCTGTTAGAGGTGTGTGCGTGTCAGACTCTGTAAGTGACCAAGGCTCTCTAAGCTCTTTTATAACCTTGGCTCCCTGGAGGAAAGAAAAAGACATCCCCGTGTGACCCTGTGGTCCAGTATGGCGCTCAGGTGTGGTGAAACCTGGAGCAGACCCTGTCACTGGACTCCAATGATGATGAAACAGGCAAGGGAAGAAGTAGATTATATCAAGTAGGAACATAATTTTATGGAGACTGGTAAACAAAGGGGAAAGGAATTAACCTTTAATTTACCCAAAGATGTTTTGATGCCATTTATTTCTGTGCTGTAAAACAGGGATGTGTCCAGACTCTTGACATAGGGGGCCCAACTGGAGCACTTATGCAGGGTGGTTTTAAGTATGAGTGTATATAAAAACAAAAAAGAAAAGGATTTATTTAATATTTCTGTCTAAACTGATCGTATCTGATGTTATATTTTGTTATAAGGTCTCTTAACTAAAAGGCAGCATTTCAAAACTTATCTTAAATTTTCAAGGACCAAAAAGATGTTTTGTCAGTCGTGTTTTAATAGACCAATATTTTCAAACTGCATATGTTGGCAATGTTTCAGTAGTCTGGTCAGCATTCGTATTTCTAAAAGTCATATGGTCTGTAATGGTAATTTTTGGAAAGACTAACCTTAGCCAATCATCAGTTAACAATTTTTGGCTGGCACTAAAAGTGGCCAATTACATTTCCAAGGGGGTCCATGCTATCCTTTACACCACCCCTTTGGGTGAACTCCATCTTAGACGTACTATTAATAGACAAATCTAGGAGTATAGGGTAAGTTAGCTGTTGTAGAATTATATAGAAAAAATCATTTTTAACACAAGGCTGCTACATACAGTGTTTTCCCAGTTTAAGTACCAGGGCATCTTTGTTGTGAAAAGGAAGGAAGCTGTCCATAATTTTGGCTTTGTTAAAATGGTAAATTAATCCAGTCATTTTTACTGGTGTGTTAAAGAAACACTAATCTGTAAAATAAAACCTCAATTCTCTTTATGCCAGTTATTTCTTCTTCTTCTTTTTATCATTTATTGGTATTTTCAAAAGACAAAGTACTTGAAATCAGTTATTTCTTTTGCTACTCTTCTAAGTTTTTCATGGTGGCAGTCTTCATATATTCATGTTGGCAGTTGTTGCAGTTTACTATGTTTCTGCTGTTTTGAGGCTGTAAAGAAAACATTATTTGGAGTGAAACCAGTAGATTCTATTTTGAGCTTTGACCAGTCCTGGATGCAGTTCTTCCACAATTCTGATTTCATTAGTAACTCAAGTATGAAAACAGGGTTGCCGGTTTGTGTGTTAGCTAGAGCTCCTGTATGGTGTAATGGAATGAAAACAAGGACAATTTCTGGGATACTTATAATGGATCCCTGAGTGGGAACTTTCTAGGGGGAAAACTTGCATTTAAGTTGGTCTTTATGGGCAAAAACAGCTTATTTGTGAGTATCCATTGGGTGGCATATGTCTGCTATATTTACCCAAACAGTAACCAGTTGTAACAATGTCTCTGTTTAACACCATGTGAATCCCTCTCATGGAACATAACAACCTTTCTCCCTCTGTTTCTGTCTCTCCTGCTCCTCTGGGGCAGCGGCTCCTTATTAGAAGCAGGCCTGCTGGATAGACGCTTTCTTTAACAAGGTGAAAGCAACTGAATGGGACTAGCATAAACGAGGCAGAATATCAACAGTGTGACTCCTCTGTCTGAGCCCTACATGTTTGGGGAAAAAGTGTTTAACATACTGTTGGATTGGCAATCTGCTGTTGCCTTATCCCCTCTTGCAAAGCTGTGAAACGGCCTTTCTCCTCCTGCAGAATATATAAATCTATCTGGGCTTCAGAATCTCCAAATTAAACATAGGGGCAGGCGCTTGGAAAATGAAAATGTAAATCTGACTTAGAAAAGCATTTCGGTTCCTTTGCTTTGAGGGGAAAAGGATCTACACAAGTGCCTCCTTGCTCTGTTTGTGACCTTTATCATTTGGCTTATATCTAATACGCCTAAACAAGCAGCAGCCATGTTTAAGCAGGGAGTGGTTCACGTGAAACATTTCGTTAACTCTTCAAGGTTCCAGCTCCCATCTTTGTCTCAGCCGCCTCTCCGAATGAAAGCAGAAACGTAGAGACAAACGGACTCTTGTAACGAGTCTTTTGAATGTATGACTACTTTACAAAATGAAATCCTCTAAAACGTGAAAAAAATAAAACCCAGCTGGCTTTGGCTGAGGATACACTCATTAGGTATTTTAGCTGTGAAAAACTTTGAACAATTCAAATGCTTTGCGTCAGATCTGTTTTGTTGCTTTGGTAATGTGAGTGTGGAGGGGGATTCTTTGAAGATGGAGATTAAAACCATGTGATCATTTTAATTAGATCATTAGGCAAGAATTAAGATCTATGTTTGTGACTCTCATTAACAAAAACACCAAGTGGGTGCCAAGAAAGATTTGTGCAATGCATTGAATGTATTTTTGCCCTATTTTCCCTTCCATTGCAGCATTTTTCTCCCTTTTTTTCTCGATGTCAGTACATTTTTCTTTGTTTTGTTTGCTCTTTTATTGCGTCAAGGTAAGGGGAAGGTGGGTTAATCTCTGTCTGTGCTCTCTGTCTTTCAGGCTCTTTGGTACAACAGGGAACTGTGCAGCCTGCAGTAAACTGATCCCAGCCTTTGAAATGGTGATGAGAGCCAGAGATAATGTTTACCATTTGGACTGTTTTGCCTGTCAGCTTTGTAACCAGAGGTAAGAATGGGGGATCGTAAACTGCAACATTGCCTTCTAAAACAACGCAGATTGAGGGTTAAAGTGGCGTACAGCCTAGATATTAAAAGCTGTTGAGGTGGGGCTGAGGGTTTTTTTTTGTTGTATTTTATCGATCCAGTTTTTTAAACAAGTCTGCACTGCAATGTGATACAGTATGATACAAATCAGTACAGTACAATACCATACAATGCAACAGGATACAATAGAGTGCAAAAAATACTGTACGATGCAAAACAATACTATACAATGTACCATAACGCAATGTGGTACAATGTAATAAGATAAGATATTATATAATGATATAAATAATACATGGAACGCAAACCAGTGTGAAACGCTGGTAACACTTTACAATCGCCTATCTCTATAACGCATTATACATATATGTATAATGTGTTATAATCACGTTATATAATGTTTTATAGCAATAATCAGAACACATTATAAATCATTTTGCCATGAATTACAAGTGTTATAGTTATTGTTATAAAGCCTTATGATAATTAATGAGTGTTTATAATGATAGTTATACAAGTTTATGAGCAAATTGTAACACATCATAAATATATGTATAATACATTATCTATGTGGGCATTGTCAGTGAGTTGTTAACAGTTATAACATTATAATACCTGACCTTGTAAGTCATGATAAAATGCTTTATAATGTGTTATGATTATTGCTATAAAGCATTATGATCATTTATGAGTGTTTATAACTATACTTATACAGTGCTTTCAACGTGATTATAATCCATTATACATATATTTATAATGCGCGATAGAGATAGGCGTCATTTAGCTGCTCCCACAGTGGTATAGATACTACAAGATCCAAAATAGAGTCACATTAGTCTATGTGATGTAGTTTTTGGAGGGACAGTCAGAGGGCTAAAGGCTGAAACCTTCTTTTTTCACCTCCTGCCGGCTACTGATACAGCACACAAACTTGGTCTATATGGTAGCACTAACAGACGCCACTGAACTTTGGCTTGATCCACCCTTTGTTGTCTTATATGGAGGAGTCTTTTTAATAAAATAGCTCCTCACACGGTTTATTCGCTTGACAGTAACCCACCTTTTACTATATATAATGTTGGCTGATTGAGCTAGTCTCCTGTAAACACGTTGCAACTATCGAATATTTTAGTAATTGAGTATTTACCGAATATTCCATCGATTAATCGAGTAATCGGATAAAACATATTTTATTTAGTTATAGTGCAATTATCGTGGAACAACCCCAGAACAAGTGTATGCGTTAGCGGATTAGAATGCTCATAAGAAAGCTAATTATGATATTAACTTTCATTGAGGAGTGTGCAGAGTGGCGCTGTCTCCGCCCACGACTGAGAGGCGAAGTGCTAATGATCTTCTGGAGCTCTGCAGAAGAAAAGCTCCTCTCGTCAGTCATTTTTTCCGCTCTGCAAAACCAAAACCGCGCTTACTCCTCCTTCTACCGTGGTGACATAAGCGCGTTGTCACCTTGAAAAAATCCGTGTGAAACAGTGACGATTCGAGCTTATAAACGAGGATTTTTTGTAATCTAGGTACTGGAGAATTGTTTCAGCCCTAAAAAACTCTCAGCGTTTCACACTGGTATACTGATCACACTGTTAACAAGTATGCAGCCTAATTTTTAAATGACAAAAATTCATTAAGAGGCATCTTATACTCTGAATTTTATTCTAGATAAAAAAAAAAAAAAACAAACAGCAATCCTCCGGTAAACACAGACGCACTTGCTAATGAGAAACAAACACCATATGTATATGTAGTCAATTGTCCAATCAGATTGTAGGAGAAGGATTTCTTTTAGTTTGTTTTCGTGGCCGTAGCTGTAACTCATTGGAGCCAGATGGATGTAAATTTAGCTTCTGTCCAAGAGGAGGTGAAGGAGCTAGAAGTCCTCAGAGGGAATGTGGCTGCACAAAGGAGAGCAAACTTACAAAGGTGTGAAATTTTCTTTTTTAATGATAGGAACCATTATAGGAAGCCTATGGTATGATACACATTGAATCTGATGTACCCAAATATTGCTTTTTCCCATTAATACACTGTCAGTAATGGCAGCACTCTGGGAGCAGAACGTCCTTTGCATGCTTGTCAGGGGTGCTGTGACCCTGTTCCTCCACACAGCACAAGCCCATTAACCTTGTGCAGGCCACATTCAGTTACCATAGTGAACACCTGCTGTAAGGGAATTATGACTGCAGTCTCTCTCCTCAGCTGGCAGACATGAAGCCAGGTCTCATCTGGCACTCTTGGCCATGGCTGTTCAACCAGCCTGGCTCATTACTGAAGCCAAGCTATGCCCGGCTATATTCTTATCTTCACTCCCCCCTTCAGTCGCATTATGGAGCAGTCACACAAACAAACCAAATCATAGAGGAGAACATCAGTAGGCCAGGCTGCTGTGTGTTACTCTCCCGCTTTAATTCAGTGAGACTGAAGAGGAAAAACATTCTCCGGCACTGGAACTAAACTGGCATGTAAAAAGCTAACCCTGTGACAGAGTTTCTGTGGAAACTCTCATGGTGCCAGTGCCTTTTTTTTTGCCAGGCCGAGAAGGAGAGTTGACCTGCCTTTCATTGGCTGCCAGCGCTCATGTCTGCCTGCTTTGAAATGAGAGGGTTGTAATCTACTTTATTTTGAAGCCACATATTTATGATGACCATCAAAAGAGGCTTTGAATCAGACCAGGCATGGTGTCAGGTGAAACATCTCAAACCAAATGTGTGCAATCAAACACAATCATCATTACCTGCTGATCTTGAATGCAACATTTCCCTGCCAGAGTAGAGCCAGTAAACACATGCACACACGCACACCACTTTGTCATAATGCCAACAGTGATCGCTTTTGTGTTTTTAACATTCTCCCTTTGTTTGTTTCTCTCTGCCAACAGGTTTTGCGTGGGGGACAAGTTTTTCCTAAAAAACAACATGATTTTGTGTCAAATGGACTATGAGGAGGGCCAGCTGAACGGGAGCTTTGAGACACAGGTTCAATAGTGGGGAACCTCGTGGCAGCAACAATCGGCGACACACTTTACACACGAGATGGATGTTCTGCTGCACTTGGAAAAAAAAAGACAAGCGTCTGTCTGCTTGCCTGCAATACTTTTTAAGACCCCTTTATCAGTCCTGAGGGACTGTGTTGTAAATGTTCAACTTTTTGCCCCTCCCACACCCCAACACTGAGCAGTTACAAATTTTGATGTACAGTTGTGCCTGCTTAGCTGAGCACTGTATTGCTTGTATGTTTTGTGAAATTTGTTTCTGGTTTGTTTAATTTTCCTTTCAGAAATGGTTCATTGGAGGGTATGTACAGTCTGTTTTCTCTGTATATATAAACTGGAACATTTATTTTATGAAATGTAATGCAATTTTATTACTAGTGTGAATTAAAGATTCTTAAATGTTCATAGTGAGTTTTTTCTCTTGGACCAAAAACCAAAGTTGTTGAAGGAGGTTTAACCCATGTGTTGATATGTAATCATGCCTCCTTAAAAAATGCAATGCTATAAAAAGCCTTGCAAGAGAAAATATATTTGAAGTTCTTCTTCAAAACATGATGCAACAGAACACGTTTTATTACATTTTGCTGAGTTCTGATGGAATTAGAAATGCTGTTTAAAATGGACTAAATAAGATTTTATTTGGAATAAAAGAATGCTTCTCCAAACTGTGTTGTTGTGAACGTGCAGGTGTCATGAAAGGGAGTGAGTTAAGCCGAGCTGCTCTCTGTGATTCATGCTTCACTAATTGCCATCTGATTATGAGGGTGAATTGGCTTGGAAATGAAATGCAACAGCAAATAAATTAGAGAGAAAATAAATGCTCATTGAGTTTGAGCTCATTCAAACTCATCAGAGGTGCAGAGCTGTATTAAAAAGTCCTTTTCCCTGAAGACTCTGTTAATGGAGTCGTATGACACTGTTTATCTGATGTGGTTATGTCGAATAGACACACAAACAACCCACAGTACACCGAGTCTGATCTAGCTGTCAAATATCTATCTGATCCTTAAAGAAACCATCGGTCAAGGACTTTTCTTTGAAGATGAAAATATCTGATATTCAGTCTATTCCAACATCAGCTCGTTGACCTTTAAACTAGAAATACTCAAACATGGTGAGAAAACTTGGATGGTTATTTTCTCAAACTAACATGAAATCCTTATTATAAACACTTTCTGTCAATTATTCAAGAGCCAAACTTCTCATCAAAGTTCAAAGAGTGACCAAACTCGCAGCACTCTTTTATTTTTAAAGTTGGAAATTAACTCTGCCAACATGGTGCATTGTGCTAATTTCTTTGTCAGTCAGTTTCAACAAAAAGAGTTTTGCAAAATTTTTATGAGGCTTTATGGGCGAAGAATGAACCATGGCATCTGGATAAAATCATAATGCAACTTCAGATTTAGCGATTATGTTGACTTGTTTTAAGTCAAATAGTTCTGCAAATATTCAAAGACACAGGGTTATAGTGGTTGTACTTGAAAATCTGCATGTCAGTAGAAGCTTAGATTATTGGCCTTGGTGGAGCTCTGTGGTATCGGAGCCAGTTACAGTACAATGATTTTTATGTTTGTGACTAACAAGTCCTCGAAATCCATGAATGTCATGCGGTGCACAAAATCCCCCAAAAAATGGCTTGACAGTATTTCAGATGGCAAGCTCACGTCAGTCAACTGAAATGCAAATGTTTAACAGACAAAAAACGTCTGATCATCTTAATGGAAAAAAGGCCTGATGTGCTAATCTATCATCAATCATCTATAAACAATTTCAAAGCATCAATTATTATTCAGTTACTTACATAAAAAAATGATGCATTACTTTATTTTTTGCATTTATAGCCACTTGAATTTTTATCAATTCTGCCATAATACAACATCAATACTGTTTCAAGGCACTAAGTGTTCAACTATTGAGTTGTTTTAGAAATCCTGCCTTGTTAGAGAAAATCCAAGTAAAAAGAAAATGAGCACATCTTTCTAAAACTACCGGCTCCATTCGTTTCCTTTATTTCTGAATCCAGTACCAGGTTAAAACCTGTACATTGTTGTGGACAGAGTCCTCTGACCTGTTGACGTGCTCTGTTACAATGACATCACATATAACCAGACCTTAAAAGTGACATATAAGACCCTGCAAAACAAAAGAAAATATATATGCAGTTTGTCATCTTACCTCACCACCACTGTGATTTAACGTGAAGCTGTGAGGGAGCTGGATAAATGTAAGATGCCCCTCTCTTGTACAGTGTAGATATCAAAGATTAAAGAACTGCTGGAGTATTAGATCAAGTTAGACACCATCCTTACTATTGTACCTTTTTAATAATTTTAACATAGCAGGTAGTTAATGCATGTTTGATTCAAGGAACTAAAATACAGAATAAAAAAATATACCAACAAGAGCAGATGGCCCAGTCTGTCAATTTTACAATGTCTGATACAGATTCAACTCCTGATAAACATTTTGCTTAATAAGTGTGTAGAAAAATACAACAAATCTCTTTTTTTTCTATAGGGAGGTAAACTTCAGATTTGAAGCCATGTGCACGATTATTTAGGACCTTTCTACTGGCAGGACGCAGAGCAGCAATATAATTTGCTAACATATAAATCAAGTACACAAAGAACATTAATTAGAAATTCATTAAAAATTCAGACTCAGCTGCAGGTGTGCAAATAAAGGATTAGGTAGACATCAATTATAGCACATAAGAGAACATTTTAATTGCAATTCCTGGATTGATTTACAGAGGGAAACAATCAGGCTCCATGCAATACGGCTGATTGCTCATTTTCCGGGAAAATAATGAGGAAAACACCTCACCAGGTACCACTGTTCCCAGCTGTAAATTCACACACACACACAAGCACATAGACACATCTATTCAGGGTGAAATGTGTGTGTGTGTTGTCATGCACATACATGCACAGACACTTTCAGGCTTGCAGGCTCCTATAATGAGCGCTCACAAACATATTTGGATACTAATGCTATAATAAAACACATGCACATGTAGAATAAGGAACAGACAAATAGACATGCACATACAGATACAGAAACACTCACCGAGAATTACAAATCCTGACACTCACACACACACACACAGGCATGCTCACACACATAAATACACACGCACTGCAGCTTGGCATCCCCATCTGCTTGTGTTGGTGGAGAAGTTCTTAAGCACCAAATGTTGTGCTGTTATGACTCAAGTTTGTGAATTCTCCAACCTCCTCTGTGTTCCTGATTACTGCATTATGGCATCTGCTTAATTAGCTTGGCTTGTGTCATATGTTGCACACGGGGGGGTGTTAAAAAGTGCCCTTCCCTCTTGCTCATTATCTGCCTCGATTCATGTGATGTATAATCTCTCCTGACAGACATTCATATTGACATAGGGACAGCTGTCAGCAGAGCGCGGTCATAAAGGATGCACAAAGTATAAAAAAACCACAAGGAAGGCAGATAGTGAAACTAGTGATTCTGTGTTTCCTCCTGGATCCATGAGCGCCGCAACGCTTCTCATTATGCTGAATTTAATTTTATGGTTGAGAGTTTTTTGGAAGAAGAAACTGATAGTTAGCCATGCATTTTGATTACTTCAGGTAATATAAAAAGTAACCTCCTGTCGGTGTGTTTTCAAAATTGGTGTGGTGTCCAACTCTTGGCGTGGAGTCAACCTCATTATTGCTTTGCAGGAAATTCAAATCATTATCTGCCTAACAGCTCTGGACAATGGTTTTATTCCAACTAAAAATACTTTCTTAATAGGATAGGGAATAAATAAACAAAGATAAAAAAAAGGCCCCTTCCTCACAAATCACAGGATCCTATCCAGCTCAGATATGCTCAAAATGCATGACAATGTTATCGCATAGTAAAAAAGGATTTCCCTATAGGTTTATTTTATCACCGAGACCTTTAAGAAGAATAATGATGGATAACTTTATAATTTTTTTTCCAACTGCAATTACAATTGGTTTTAAAAATCAGGACATCATGGTTATGGTAATTGAACTACAGAAAACATATTGTCAAGGTCAGGAAACCAAACTTGTACTTGAAAAGATTTACAAAAAACCTATTAAACCAGCATTTAGAGCTTCAGTTGCTGTATTAAGCTGTATTTGACTGATCTTTTGTATCACGGCCTTCACTTTGCACTTGCCCTCAATTTCAGTCATTCTTCTTTTCTTGGAAATCTTGAATTCTTGGAAAAAACTAAAACCTGCAAATTTGACCAATGAGAAGACGATTCTCTGGATACAAAGCTGTAAAGCAGGGATGCTCAATATACTGTATATGTGTCCAATAAGTTATCGGCTGATAAAAGGATTATTTACATTTTTGATTCAACAATTTTACCATCACACTGAAGATGTAGTAAAGAAATATGTAGCAGTAGTAGCCACAGCTAGCATTAGCACCGAAAAGCTTTACTGCTAATTGAACATGCATTTTAAACTGCACAAAGTTCACCACGAGCAGTCTAAAGACACCAAAGCTGTGGCACTTTACCAACCTTTTTCCATAAGAGGACAAAGAATTTCAACATCTGATTGTGGATTTGGAAACAAAATACACTGAGTGAACTTCTCTTTTAATTTCAAAACAGTGGGAAAAAAAACAAGAAGAAAGAAAATTGGTAATCACATGACTGTCCACTGTGAAGAGCAGGAAATTATTGGTTATCGTGATGAAAATACCAGCATGCTTGTCTTTAGCCAATAGCCAGCTACCAGTTTCAAGGTATGCTGCAGTTCAATAAAGTCACAGTTACATTTTCTGACATACTGTTCCTACGGTATGACCTGGACTGTCTGTCAGCCCTCATCAGTCATCTGTGTCTGGTTAATAAACTGTGAGATGAGGTACTAGCCTACTAGCCAATGGCCTGCTAACTGCTGTTAGCTGGCCTGCTATATACAGCAAGTCTGCTTGGCCATTTGGAGAGCTGTCCCCAAGAGGGAGAGAGCAGCATGTTGAGTGTTTTTTCAGGGCATTTACACTGTTTCTTCAGTGTTTCATTAGCTGCTTAGTTTAGGCTTACTGTCCAAGTCTAATGCTAGCATTGCTACTCCTGCCAACATAGAACAAGTTGGGGCAGGTCTGGTTACCCAGGTAACCGAGAGTAATAGGCGCTTGTCACAGAGACAGACGAGGCCATTTGTAGGGCAGTTCTTGGTGCATCAACATTGAAATAACAGAATCATTATGGCACCATTTGTGTATCAGTGTGTTCATGACATCATAAAACCGTGATATTTTTGCTTGAGGTTATATTGTACTGTCAGATTCTTATATCAGCCCGTGCCTTGTAGCATCTTCATAACAGCAAGGACAGCTAAGGGGATGGTCATTATTCATCTAGGTTATAACCCAAAGTACTGAACAAAAATCAAACTTGCACAGACTGTGTGACTTGTGAAAATGTCTTTGGCGTAACATTTTTATAAACCCTGCTCTGGGGATCATGATTGTGTGCTCCAGGTTTTATCGACTTCTGATATTTGTAAAGATATTTATAAACAAAACCCAAAAGTGAACCTTAAGATAGTGTAGCAAGAACGCAAGGGGGATCACCATAGTGAGCAGCATGCATCTGGGAACTATGAATGTGGGTGCAAAATTGTTGCCAATTGTTGCTGAGATATGTCTAAGC